TTATTTTGATTTATCCCTTCAGCCATCTCTTAGACGTCCACCCTATTTGTCGAGAGTTTGAAGTCTTTCAAGTGAAAAATCGATACGTTCGGGTCGAACAGAGATTCTCTTTCCTCTTAGGAAAAAATTTCCGCATTTGTCGCAAGTATAAAAAGAATTTTGAAAAACCTCTGAGAATTGAGACGAAAAGTGTATTAAGATTTTTTTCAAGAAATACAAGATCGATCACATCACGCTTTTTTCCGATGAAGTTTAATATCTTTTAAAATATCACAGTGTTAAAGTCTTTTTATATATAAGACAAATTATATTGTGAAAATGTTAAAAAAAATTGGGAAAAGACACACTTTGATCTAGTGAAATAATGAATTGAGGAGTTGTCTCGCCCTCGTTCCCGTTTTCTCAGAAAAAACTTCGGACGATGTGAGCAGTTGTTGAGAAATTATTAAGAAAGCTTTATTATGATCACCTCGGCGTGGGGAATCTATTTCTCGCTTTTTCTCTCTCTCTCTATATATCGTCGATGCTTCTTCCCTTTGGGAAATTTGTTTCTAGTCCTTTGGGAAATTTCGTTGTATCCACTTTCGTTGCCCAGCCTCTTTACATCAAGCCATCTATATGCCTTTTATTCCTTGACGTCATCGACTGCGGATTAACACGCGCCATATTATTTACCGTCGATATCGTTCATCAATGCGTCTTCGGACGTACCCGGAAGATGATATCGAAGAGTCGTTTCCTCGCGAGTAACGTCATCATGAAGATCGCGGAAATATCACGTCTGCCTTGATCTAATTTATTAATTTCTTCAGTGATTAGCCTGCGTTGTTTATACAACGTATCATGATCAAATCACGATTACTTATGCACGATGGTTATTACGATTAATAAATTATTAATTAATAAACATGTCTCTCACTGTGTTATATATTTGCGTGTCTCATATATTTTGCGTATTACTTTAAAAATAATTTAATCTTAGGATGTAATAAAGTTCTCCGAATGCCCGAAGTTGTGTGTTTTGTCTATCGCTTCTCGACCAAAACACATCCCTATAATAATCTAAATGCTTCTTCAGCGATACGTTCAACTACACGTTTGTTCCGATGATTCAAACTTTTATTCCGAATCTGCTGAAAATCTATCTCGTTCTATTTGTCGGGAGGTCCATTCGCGATGACCCAGATCCACCCTCGGTAACACGTTCAAGCCACATTCCACCGCATAATCACTTTATTTGAACGAGCATCCACGCTCCCTTCTCTTCCTTTCCTAAAATGTTATGGTTCACGTTCACTCGGCAGAACTTATCGCGATTATCGATTTCGCGTTTTATAATACGCGAGCCTTCCACGTTCCTTTATGTTTATACGTGCGCATGTATTTTGTATGTGTGTATCGCGTGCGTCGTGTCTCCTTTCTTTTTAAAGATTTCACCCCGCGGTAATATTCTTAGCCCGAGGGGCGCACCGTTTCATTTCCCTTTCACGCTCGTTCTCCACAGGCCGCTCATCGTTGAACATCGATCCATCGTTGAATCTCAAGCGGATGTCGCAGGACGTGCATGATTTTCATGTCACAACTGATAATAACACGATACGTTTCATATCACTTCCCCCTCGCGAGTCGATATTACGACGAAACATGAACGTCGGTACGTCACAACGCGATGTCGGTGGCGAGAACGACGGCAGGCCAGTGGAGAGACTACCTGCCACCCCCATTCACCCCCTCGCGAAGCTGCTCATGGATGTGCGGCAATCCCGTCGCAGTTTACCCCGTACGTTTCACTGCGCACACGTCGCCGATGGACTCGTCGGCGCGAGTTTCCATCTTCCTTACCCTCGTCGCCGTGTCGGTGCATGTGCACCAAGGCGAAGAAGCCGAAAGAGATGCGCGTTCCTCACCCTTTCGATATAAACCGCATATAAAGATTTTTATGTTAACAAATTGCAATCGAATGATTGCGAAATGCGATTTATTAATTAGAACTTCTAATAAATTATGAAATACAATATGTTTATAAAAATAGCATAATCGTTGACAATTATGTTTAGTGTAACGGACAGTACGTCGAAAGAATAAAATAAAATCGCAAAATCGTTTGATAAAGATTAGCAGAATTTATTTAATTAAGTGTAAACTAAAGATCTGATTCGTATTTAGTCGTATTTATTGATTGATTCCTCGTTCGTTTTTCTGTATTTCTCCTTCCATAGCTCTCCTGTCTATTGTTTCGTTTTATGAGATTATTTTCAATAATAAGAATATTGTTATGAAGGAGAAGACTGTAATAGTAAGATGTTTGTTTCTTATTTCAAACAGTTGAGCATTTTAAATAATTTCAGATAAAATAAAAAGAGATCCGATATCACAAAAACTCGAGATTAAAAATTATAAAAATATAAATATATATAACTGTCTTTTATAAAAAAGGAAATGTTAAGTCGATTACTC